GCCTTCAGGCTCTCATTTTCCATCGGTGCTGAGTACTGAGGCTTCTAATTAATATCTGTGGTGGCTTCATCTGATTGTCTCTAAAGTCAATCCCTGACGTGAACAGGAATCTAACTGATTTTCATGCTACTTAACATAATAGAAATTGTTTTTTAGGGGGGGAGGGTGGATAAAAACATACATCCAAATTCGCAAGGTAGCAAAGCTGGTAGAGGTACTGCACAGCAATAGAGTACTTGTGTTTAGTGACTCCTTGACAGTTAGCAAAGCTTCTTCATGTCCGCCACCTCGTTGATCTTTTCAGTAGTCATGTGTGTAGACATAGAGGTATATTGCCTTCATGTCACAGCACAGTCTCTTGAAAAGAACTTCTCCATTGAATTGCCTTTGTACATTTACCAAAAATCAACAGACAAGGCTTACAGCATATTAAGAAGTAGTATATGTGACAATTAACACAAAGGATGGGAGAGGAAGTGGAGCTCCGTAGCAGTGAGGAAATGACATCAGAGAGTAACTTGAATACCAGAAATATTAAATATGTGGGTAAATATAAAAAACCTGTAATATATTTTTAATCCTTTCTCCTCTTAACTTTTAAAAAGATATAAAATTATATAAAACAATAATCAGTACACTGTGTTATTGAGTTTATAACATATGAATATATATATATGTCAGTAATAGCACAAAGGAAGGAGAAAGGAATGAAACTATATTGGGTGTTCCTGTATTTTGTTAGAATTGAGTTAGTATTAATCTGAAGTAAGTTGTGGGAAGATATATGTAGTAATCTCTAAAGCTATTGCTTAAGAAACTAAAACAATGCTATAGGAAAAAAACAACAGAGAAATTAAAATGGCACACTTTTGGATCTGTTTAATCAAAAGAAGGTGGTAAAGGAGGAGCAAAAAACATGTGATAGATAGAAAACAAAAAGTAAAATGGCAGACACAAATCCAACAATATCAAGGTTAATTTTAAATGTAAATGGATTAGACACTTGAATCAAATGGCAGAAAATATAAGGCTGGATAGAAAAACAAGATCCCACTATTTGACCCCTGTAAGAGACACCCTTTACATTCAGAGATGCCAATTTTGGGAAAGTTTTAGCCATTGCCTCTACAATGCTGTAACCTGAATGTGTGCCCCCAAAGTTTATGTGCTGAAATCCTGATCCCAGAAGATGAGGGCGTTAGGAGGCGGGGCCTTGGGGAGGTGCTTAAGTCCCCAAGGTGGAGCCCTCATAAGTGACCCCCTTCAGAGACCCCCACCTCCTTCATCCTATGGGGACACAGCCAGGAGGTGCTGGCTGTGAGGCAGGAAAAGGGTCCCCACCAGAACCAACCACCAGAACCAGTGGTGCTGGAACCCTGATGTCCGCCTTTCTGGCCTGCAGAACCAGGAGGGAGACGTGCCTGTTGTGTATCAGCTGCGTTCTTACGGCAGCCAGTGCACTAGGGTTACACCCTTGTCTCTTTCCTCTCCTTCTGCGATTCCACTTACACCTAGGGCAACTTATTTGCTAATTGTACCAGAGACCTCTCAGGTTTTCTATTCTTACATTCTTTTTTTTCTCTGTACTTAATTTAGATGGTTATGACCTGCTTTCAAGCTGCTAATCCTTTCTTCCGCCATGTTTAGTCTATCCTTAAGTCTAGTCCGTACTTTTTAAAAATATATATTTTAAAATTCTAGAAAGTCCATTTTCTTTAGAATTCCCATTTCTTCTGCAGCGGTTCTTTATCTTTTCACCCATCTTGTGTTTTTTCCTCAATACTGAAACATATTTACAATGGCTGTTTTAGAGCCTTTAGCCATTACTTTCAGCATTTCAGCTTTTCAGTAACTGTAGTTGTCCGAAGGCCTTGTTAGGCAGACTTTCTCCCTTGATTTTTGGGTACATCTTCCTGTGCCTTCACACAGCTCAGAATGTTCCACTGGGCGCCAGACGCTGTGCACGAAGAAGAGGCGGGTCCCGATGCCGCCTTCCCCCGGGGCTGTTCCTCTGCTGTCCGTGGCCGGCGAGACACGGGCCTGGCTTAGGCAGCCTCATCAGGGGCCTGGAGGGGCCGCAGCAGCGTCCAGCGTCGGTTGTCTCCCTCCCCTTCCGGTTTCAGGTGCTCTGAGTCTGGGACCAGGCCCCCCGTCTTGCGCAGGACCGGGACTGGAGCTCGCCTGCTGTTTTCCAGACTCTTCCCTAGCTTTGCAAGCGGTTGCGCAAACGCCCGGCGGTGCCATGAGAGAGAGCTGGCGGGCTGGGGGCAGGTGCCCGTCCGGATCCCAGCCGCCGCGCCAGGGCCAGGGCGTGCGCGGCTCCTGTTGCCCTAGCCGGTTTCCCCTTCCCCGGGGAAGCTGCTTACCTGTGCCAGGTCACTCCTCCAGCCACATGTACCCGGACTAGTAGTGGCCCTCAGGGGCAGGAGTGGCTGTCTCTTGGTCTCTACTTACCTGGGAAGGGCCCCGTCTCCTGGAATTGTGTCCCTTTAAACTTCTTTGTGTTCACATCTTTTTTTATGGCTTAAAGGCAAAAAACCTGATATTTTTAAGCAAATTGGGTATTTTCCCTTTGTTACGGTAGGAATGGTGGTCTTTTGAGATCTTACACATACCAGTTGGAAGTGGAACGTCTTTCTGCTCTGACATTGGAATTAATAATATTGAAAAAAAGTACACTGCACTGTGATCATATCTTATATTCTTATTCTTAGCCTTTTTCACAGTGTGGGGTAAGGGGTCAGCAAACCTTTTCTTAAAGGGCTTAGATAGTAAACATTTTAGGGTTGTGGAAGGAGTGGCAAAATTCACGCTATTATGTAGGTACTTATATGACCATTCAGAATGTTCTGGTTAAGACGTAAAGACCATTCTTAGTTCACAGGCCATAAAAACATGGGTGACCATAGTTTGCCAAGCCTCGATATGGAAACAAATGATAAAAATTTGAATGTTTTGATGAACAAAAAACAAACAAATATCAGATACTTTTAAGGAATTTTTAGGAATTGCTTTGGTCCCAAGTTCCATCTACCATTGTATCTATGATAATAAGTACCAAAAATGATCCTGAGCTAAGACAAGTTGAATTTTTATTTACTATAATAGAATTGCCTGATAAATTTTAGGAAAATGTTTGTTAAGAACATATTTTAAAGTTTCTATTCCTAACGACTTCTTGTAGCCATAGGGAACTCCTCATTCAAAAAGTCTCATTCACTCTACCCAAGTATTCTAGCACATATTGGGCATTAGCAAATTTTAAAAAAAAAAGAAAAAGAAAAGAAAAAGGACCTTGACCCTCAAAGTGAGTATAGTTCAGTGGGAAACAGATACACAGATGTATAAATACAAGGCAGTGATTACAGTAACATAGAGTTGCGCAAAGAGCCTCCGTAGGGTAAGGTACATAGCTTTAACAAGAGGTTGGGAAAGGACTTAAGATGATGCTTTGCTGACTCTTGAAAAGGTACTAAGATTTTGCCGGGTAGACATTTTATTTATCCCATAACTGTTGCCTGACGATTATGCTTAACATCTGAAGTATTACCAAATTGCTGATTTAACTCTTTCAGGGTCATTTTAGAAAAGGTTTGAATATGCGGAAACAAATTTAGAGACTCGGTCTCATCTCGCTTTATGCCTTTGTAAACTTCAATTGTAGGTAGCAGGTAAGCAGCCTTTTGTCACTTTTGTTCTAACAAACCAGTTAGAACTTTAGCTTTTCCAGAAGTTTACTGCTGTTTTAAATCATTTTAAAAACTGCAGTCTCTACTTCAGATTTTTCTTAAAAAGCATTTGAATTATTATAGTAAAGATATTTTGAAGCAGAGACTTTTCAGATTTTTTGTTGGTTCAATAGGTCATAGGATGGGTGAACAGTAAACATAAGGATTTTTGCTAAGGGATGGGAAGTTGGACTTAAGGGGACAAATTATACTTTGGCTAAAGAGAATACAGTGTTGAGTTATTTATGTATTCAGCTGCTGCATGTTAATATGCTAGTAAATCTTTTCCCGATTTTTGGGGACTAGGTTAGCTTAATGAAAAAAACAACCGATCATTTTTTATTTGCCTTTTAAAGAAAGCTTCTATGGAGGTTGCATTTCTTGAATCGTTGAACAGAGGCTTTACTGAGTAGATAATAAGGATTTTCAGTTGGTGGTAAACAAAAAGTAATGGTGCTCTGAAAACCTAGATATTAGATTTGACAGATTATTTTCCACAGCACGCAAACTGAAATCATCTATAACATTGATAGCTTGATACATAATTTTACCCCCAAAGTTCTATTTTCCTCTCTATTTTTCTCTTAGCTTTTATGACACATTAGAATACATATTGAGAACCATAAAAATATCTATTTCAGATCTAATAATTCCGGTACTTGGTAAAATCCAACAAATATTTAAAAAGAACCAACTACCTTTGAGAAAGAGGATCTCCACAGCTTGTTTTTATTAACATCTTTACCCCTGAAAACCTGAAAGAACTTTATAACAATAAGGAGATGATTGGGTGAATTATGAGTCCATGGAATATTATATAACTATTGAAGAGTAGTACTTAGGAACACAATGGGGGAAATATTTATTATAGTCTATTTTTTAAAAAACAAACCTCAATACCAAATTATTTCACGGTAAGATACAGACTTCGAGAATCGGAACAGGAACGCTCCCGGCCCTTGGCCCGTCGGAGGCACCGTACGCCCCACGGGTGCCCTGCTCTGCGGGCCCCTGAGTCCAGCTCGACTCTCGGTGATGACCAGGAGGGATGGGCGCATGCAAGAGAGAAGGGCTGAAAGTCAGTGGCTGGCCCTTCCTGGCAGGATTTTCAATGCGAGAAGGCAACTTTCCATGTTTCTACTCAAGCCTTCAGACATTTTCTTAGCATATGGATATAATGCTGTTGCCTGCCCCTTCCCCAAGATTTTCCAGCCTTTGACCTTATTAAAGGAGTGCCTGTGAATCCTAAATGCCTCGTGACTTTCCTTTCAGGATAAGGGAGATCCTGAAGGCATCTCGAAAACTGCAAGGTGACCCGGACTTGCCGATGTCTTTCACTTTGGCCATAGTGGAGTCCGATTCCACAATAGTCTATTATAAACTTACCGACGGATTTATGCTGCCAGACCCTCAGGTCAGTGTGGAGGCTACTAGCAGTAAACAGTGAACAAAGGGAAAGGCTGTGGCATGGCTTGCACTGTGAATCAAGCCTCTCACAGAACTGCCTCTTCCTCTCAGTGTGAGAGTTCATAAAAAATCATGGTTCTATTTTCATGCCTCAGAAAACTGCTATATTTTGTTCAAAGGGACGTGTTCTTAGTTTCTGTAGAAATAACTTCCTTACTCTGTGGAGAATTTCATTTTCCCAGAGAAATTCATGAAGTTATGGTGCATTTTATTATATGAGGTGGAAAGTAACGGCTAATAATATTTTTAACCAAAAGAACACTTCTTTAGGATATATTAAATTGGTTGACATTTCGACAGGAATGTTTTAATAAAATAAATGTGCTATCTATGATGTCTTTACATATTTTGTTGGCATAATTAGGATACTTACATTAAATGTCTTGCTAGTTTTGCTTTTGAATCACATTATTCATCGGGGGAAGGTCCATCCTGATCTTTGTTTTTTATGTTGCAGAATATTTCCCTTAGAAGATGACACCTACACTTCCGGTGCTAACTTTATTCATACAAGGTTGGATCTGAGACCCATGAACCTGCGTAATCTTTGATCTCAGAGACAGTCAGGGTTGACTTAGCTGGTCCCATTCCATAGTTCCTTTCTAAAGTATAGAACTTTCCTCGATAGGAGGACTCATAGTTGTTCAAAAATATGGGATAGTTGTTCTAAAACTTCCTTATCTGGAGACAGTTTAGTTACCAGTTTACGCCTCGGATGTGTTAGGGGTGGAACCCTGTTTCTCCTCTCACTCCCCACTCACAGCTGCCTCGTTGTTTGCTGCTGCTGCTGCTGCTGCAAGCGTTTGTTGGTACTGCCACCTCGTTCCCTCGCTCAGCCCCCTTGGCACCTGTGGCTGCTGCTGCCACCTTGGAATGCCTCTCATACCCCCCTTGGGAGCTGGAGAGTTTACTTCAGTCTGGTGTTTCATCACAACAGAAAGTAAAAAGGTTCTTTCAGTTGTTTTTAATGTTGCGGTTACTGTTACTTTCCTCTTCGGTTTACTTTAAATCAAACTTACGAATATGTTCATCCAGAGTATAAACTTGCCTAGATTAATAGGGAGCAGAGAAGTGTCACCTACAGAGTATTGAACCTTCCTTTCCCTTCTTATGACCACGACCCTGTATCAGCAGGAGACTATTACCAGAGAAATAGTCCTTTCCCTTCTTATGACCACGACCCTGTATCAGCAGGAGACTATTACCAGAGAAATAGTGGGGGCAGTGTCATCCTTAAAAGCGTTTTTATGAAGCAGACCTAGCTAGTCCACTTTAGTTATAATATATTCTAATTAAGTTGTCTGAAGTATAAAAAATTATATGTGCAAAGATGTTCCAAGTAACTAAATTATAAACCACTTAAAAATTTAGGGCAGGGCTCAATAAATTTTTTCTGTAAAGGTCCAGAAAATAAATATTTTAGGCTTTGCAAGCCATATAGTCCCCATCACAGCTTCTCAACTCTGCAGTTTCTAGCACAAAAACAACAGTAGGCAGTAGGTAAACAAATGGGCGTAGATGGTGGTGCCCTAATAAAACTTTATTTACAGATGCAGGCACACACACACAATGAACGGTACATTATGTACGCATTAAAAATTAGTACAGAATATAATGAACATGAGAAAATATTAAGTCAAAACATGGTATAGAAGTGTATGAATGGGTATGATCATGGCTGTAAATAACATACCGACATAATAAAAAGATGAGAAGAATAAATTACTAGCTGTGGTTATATAATAGGATGGCAGGGCAGTAAAAGGAAGACTTGGGTTTTTCTTCATTATTTGTTTTCCTTTATTTGTATTTTATAATAAAAGTTTCTAAAAAGTATCTTGAAATCTGTAATAGTTATCTATTATTGCATAATACTGTAACAAACTTTACAACCTAGAATGGCACTCATTTAAGATCTCAAAGTCGGGTTCCGCCTAAGGCGGCGGCGAAGGGGTGGGCCAGGGCTGCAGCCTCACCTGGGGCTCGACCGCGGAGGGGCCCGCTGCCCTGCTCGCTAGGAGCGGCTTTCCGTTCCCTGCGGGCGGCTGGGCTGAGCACGTCGGCCCCCAGAAGGCGGCTGGCAGAAGGCCACCCTCGGCTCTGCCACGTGGGCCTTGCCAGCGCGACTGGTTGCTTCCTCAAAGCCAGCAAGCAGCTTCTCAGCAAGATAGACCCCACGCTCTTACCTCATATGCGCTCGCATTTCCCCTCACCTTTGCCATATTCTGTTGGTTTAGAATCAAGTCAGGGCTTTCCACTTAAGAAAAACGACAATAACAAGGCTGGAAAATGGCCAAAAATAGGAACATTACAAAATGTCATAAAAGCATCCTTCCGGGCCTGTCCTAGCTCCTGACGCTTTTCTTTTGGCCGTATTTGGACTTCACTTTCACCCCTGATGGGAGGTCTGGGAGCCCTGTCGGGTCCCTCTGCTCCTGCTGAGCCTGAGACGCGCCGGTTCGGAGCCGCGCTTCCCTGGCTCCGGCTGTCCGTTTTCAGAGCTAAGAATTCTAAAACAGTGTATGGTGCATTCTTAGGGTCTCTCTCACTTGGTTCCTTTTGAGGCTTTTTATCACAGTGCTGGAAAAATGATGCAGTTTCAGAAAGAAAGGTAAAGCTTCATGAACGATAAATCAGGTAACTCAGAGACCGAAGTGTCCTTTTGAGTTGACTGTGAAAGTTTGTCACAGATATTGTTACAATTGTGTGTCCTGGAGCGTTTACTCCATTTCACAATGTCTCCTGTGTACTTGACCGAAGTTGTTCTGAAAGCCAGCCAGACACCTGCTAATGTGAATAAAGATCCAGAACAGTTTAGAAAGGGAGACAACTCCCCTGCCTGTGTCTTTCATTTTAGTGAAAAACTAGGTAAAGCGATTTTTTTGTGTATGGTTAAGTGATTTTGTAATTGCCTTTACATTCGTGTTTTTTTAATACATCTGTGCATCCCATTGCCTTCCATAGCAACTGGCGTATATACTAAGCACTTAAATATTTGGCAAATGGGTGAATGCTCCTTGCAGGCTTGTTGAATTACAGTGACTGCACCTCCAGGCAAGCTGAAATCCATTTGGACACCAGAGGGCGCTGCTAAATAAGCACAAAGTTTTCAGACCAGGAGCCGATCGGTTTGAGAAGTGCTATGCTTTTCATCAGTTTGGGAAGTAGTGCTCTAGAAAATTTATTTTCAATCTGTAGGAAATAAAATAAATAAAATTATAAATAAAAGTTCGATGTCCTCACACCCCCTTTCTTTCTGGCATGCCTCTAAAATTACACTCTCAACTGTCATTAAATATGTGACTTGATTCATGCTTTGCTCAAAATGTAGATCTGTCCTTAAAAATAAAGCTTGTTTGGGGCAGGGGTAGGTGGTGTGGGTGTTTTTTTCTAGACTATGGTTTTGTTCATACCCATATGAAATGGTGCTTTTTTTTTTTTCCTTGCAAAAGCCTAATTTATTAAATTTCAAGAACAGATCACATAGCAAGAGACCCCCGTTCTGAAATGCTCGCTGAACGGGCTGCATACCGGTGGTGAAAGACATAAACTGCTGCTGTAATACATATAAACTCATCCGCGGGAGGGGGGCCTCTCTAGATGGGAGCAGGAGAGGGGGACGGGCGTGCGGTGATTTACCTGCGGTGCCATCTTCATCTTTGTTTTTCGGAGTCCCTGTCAGTGCGCCCTCAGACAGCTCGGGGTCCAGTGAGTCCAGATTAATCGTGTTTTCCTGCCTGGGATTCTCTAGAAAATGTGTTCTCCTACGAGAAACGTAAGGGCAGTGGCACTTCGCAATTCTAAGCTGTAATTAGAGAAGAAGAGCAAACTGCAACAAATCAGTGTGATCCGTATTTTTTTAAACTGAAGCGCTCTACGTCAATATGCCTGGGACCAAAGGACTTCGCCCAAACGGCCTGGTGTTTCATCTTCCTTTTCAGGCGTTTCTGCTCTGAATTCCTCTCTGAGGTCACTTTTTCCATGGCGGCCGCAGCTGGAGGCCTTTTGCCACCACAGCACAGCGGCTCCTGCCAAAGTTTATAGTTCCATACAGAAGCCCTTTATCCATCTGCCGTGTTTTCACCTTGACTGTTTACATGTGCAGAATAATGTCGCAGCCTCGGAACAATGAATAGTACAATTCCCCCTTCTTCCAGACCAATAGCGGCTCTGTTCCACTCCTGCAGCCTAAGCCTCTTAATGACCTTTGAATAAGAACTGCCTCTGTTCCGTAAGGAAAGAGGTTGGGAAAATCACAAGACTTATCGGTGGGTGTGCTTTTAAGAGGTTGAGATGATTCTGCAAAACTTTCCCCAAACCAACTGAACCCAAATCGAAGATTGGCTTTTTAAGTTTCAGGGTACTGAATGGAGGTAATATGAGGAATTATTTAATTGACGTTCACTCCATTTCTTAATTCATCTTTAGACATTAATTGGGCTCCTTGTGTGTACTTAGATGAGTGGTAAATGCTGGGGATACAAGGATTAAAGCAATGTGACCTCTGCCCTCAAGAAGCTCAGATAGCCAGTTACAACTCGCCTTAGCCGAAAGCCCAAACCGTGTTGTCACTGTGAGTGAAGGCTGTCATGCGGTCTATGAAGTTTATAGAGTTTGCTTAACGGGGAAGGGGTTAACAGTTTTTGGCATATTAGACAGTTTTGAAACAATCATTCATACATATATATATATATGATTATATATATGAAATTTGTCCCAAAGGACTGAACCTGGAATAGGACAAAAAGAAATATTATACAGTGCACCACCTCTCAAGGACTTCTTGTCTGGCGAGAGAGAACTGGAGAGCATTCCAATGCAGTGCTCTGTATAAATGCTAAATTCTAGTTCAGCAACAGTTTATTCACTACTAAGTACCTCCATGCTCTTTATTTTGATTCTCACAACAGAGTTGATGTCATTTACTTGTTGTTATTAACTTATTCTCATTTAATCGATGGAGAAATTAGGGTACCAAGTGAGTAGGCAATGGCCTTGTGTAGTAGCAAGTGAGCGGTTAATGAAGAGGGGATCCAGCTCTAACACCCAGCCCACTGTGCTTATCAGATGACCATGCTGCCTCCTTCTTGTTTGGTGCACAGAAATAGATTGATGTGTGTCAAAGAGACCAAGAACAAACAAGTAACTGCTTAGTGCTGGAGGGAGCTAGGATGTGATTTAGGGATCAATCATATTATCCTCTTGTACTCTTGAAAAAATGTATCAAAATGTCAGGCTGTCTGTGGGTAATCTAGAAGACAATATTCACAGGCAGTATACCTATGGTGTCTTATTACAAAGAACAAATGCATTGATAGCCATGCTCTTAGGTAGGCAAACCTAAAACAAATTCACTATTGAATGAGAAAGAGCTCAGAAAGTTTCTCTGCTTGTTAGAGAGAAATTTTGTGCTGGCACAAAGAGTAGACTGGGGGAACTTTTAAATGATGGTTTCACTTGAGTGAGGAAGAATCTTGCACCCTAAACATCCCCCAAGTCTGCTTGCTATTGCTTGAAATCCTGCCGCAGTTCTGCTTCTTCGTCATGATACTTTGATCCAAATTAATGATGAGCATTTTTGTAGCATCCCGTGACTAAGGCACAATGTTAAGATTTTGGAGGGGCATTAACCCCAAATATTTTATTAGTAGATTCAATAGGTAAAGTTAGTTAAATTGTTATAAGCATTTCTAAATGTTTATTCTAAATTCCTATACTTGCCTCATTGCATACGGGTGGTATTTTGTGGATTGGCATTCATTTGCAGAGTACACATTGAGGAACATGTGTCAGAACCCCGACAAGAAGTGCCGAGGGCGTGAACCCCAACAGCAGCCCAGGTATGTCAGGGAGGGTGAGAGTGTGATGCAGTAACAACCAGGGACTTAGCTTAACAGATGTTTATTTCTTGCTCACATAGCCTTGGAGTCCTTACTCTGGGAATCAGGTCAACAGAGCCTCCACCTTCTGGAATGTTGTTGGTTCTAGTGGCAGCAAGAAGAAAGCACTAAAGTGTCTGCCATAAAATTCTTCTTCTGGAAGCAATGCATGGCATCCCTGCCCAGATTTTATTGGCCCAGGCAAGTCACATGGCTGGCCGTGATCAACTTCAGGAAGGAGAGGAAGTGAGTTCTGCCGTGT